ATGGGATCCACGTAAAGTGCCAAACTGGTAAAAAGAGAAGTCCAAGGTGCATGTGCAATGGTGCACTTCTATTTCTGTATGCAATTACTGCAATGGCTTGTGAAAATCAGTCATTTGGCAACAGAAATGAGTACTTAGACACCTAAATATCTGTTTGTATTTGCAATTATTTGCATGCATAATATCCATATTTGTGAAGATAATTTGAGTGCATCTGAATATGGTTCTGGGGTCTTGCTTGCTTTCTGATTTAAAAAAAAAGCTGGTAAAGTAAGTTTTTAGTGTGAAAAGGCCCCTCTTTGTTTACCCAATTAACAATTTTGCATTTTCTCACCATATCAATATAATTTTCCTACACAGACAGCAAGCTTGCAACTCACTTTAAACCTGAACATGGCAGGAGAAAGCCTTCCCCTTCAAAAGAGAGGTTAATTGATATTGAAGTGACTCGTAAATTAAAAGTCGCAAGTTGTGACAAATTGGAGAAAACAGTTCAGTGTCATGAAGCCATAGACCTTAAGAAGAGAAAAGATTCCTTATCTTTCCAGATAGTGTAAAACTATGCCCAGTTTTTGCAATTGTCTTGTTCTGAGAATCAAACTGGACAAAAATCAATGTGAGTTAAATCAGAACTCCAGCTTCACTCAGCTCATTAGCACTGTAATAAAGTGCTTTCAATCATTTTTGTATTTCAGACATTTTCCTGCATGCTAAATGCACTTGTCGTCAGCAGCATTGTATTACCTCAACAGCTATTCTGTATTTTAGGAAATAATGATATTTACATATCAATTATGATGTTCTTTATGACTCATCTTTGCTTAATAGAATTGAACAGAGAAAGCCTGCTGTTTGGTTATTAGCTTCATAAAGAAAAGTCATTTTGAAATTCTTATTAAATTGCAATGAATGTACAACTAAACTGAGATTTAATTACAATTTTAATTAAAGGAACAACTACTGATTGTAAGTCATTGAACAATATCTTATAACCCACCACAACAAAACACCATTATTAAAAGAGACCTTCAAACTATTTGTTAGGAACATAATGAAACCCTTAAAAATAGAACAGGTCAAGTCACATGGAGATGTGTGGTGGAAGAAAGAATAAAATGTGTGGAAAAAATGCTTGTAATGTTCTTATTATACATATTGTATTAATATTTATTGTCATCTGAAAACCACAGAGAAGACAAAAGATTATGATTATACATCAACTTTTCAATAAGAGTACAGTATATTGAAAATTTGTTTTTGTCTTGGTTCTGTTAGCTAAAGAATGATTCCTGAGCTCAACCAGGTATTTTCTACATAGCCTTTACATTAGGAGAGATCTAACATCTTATGTCTCAGCAGCCCTCTAGCAACTCTTGGAACAATAAAAGTTGGTAAAGCTAACTTTAAAAAAAACCCAGTTTGGCAAAAGCAAATTGTATTGCTTGTTGTCATAAGTAAGATAGTATTGGCAAAAAGATAGCCATAATACTGGCAAGTGCTATCCAAGCTACAGCACTCCGCTCAGCCAACTCACCTCACACCTGATCTGCAACTTCTCTGTTGTTACAGTATTGATCCTCTCCCAAGCTAGTTGTGTGACATGGATAAATTTCCTAATGGAGGGTGAAGCACATCATTCTGTGTTCCAATTATCAAATTTAGACACGGAAATCCTATTTGCATTGCAAATCTGTACACTCAGGTGCTATTGGACAAAAATTGGTCATGTATGTTTCTCAAATCTATTTGAAGCCTCTTTGAAAATTTGTCCCTTAAATTTGTTTGTTTTTGGTTGGTCTCGATTTAAAATGTATATAGGAAACTAACAAAGCTAACAGTTCTTCACTAAAAAAAGTGACTTGTGACCAGTTGCTTAACACAATATTAACAAGGCAGAAGGAACAAAAGCCAGAAAAGGAAAAGAATACTAAGATAAGTTAGAGGTAGTAAAACCAGCAGAGCCTAATGAAATTCACCCTATGGTACTCAAGTAACTAGTTGAAGCAATCTCAGAACCAATAGTGATGATCTTTGAGAACTCATGGAGCAGATGGGTGAGAGCCCAGAGGACTGGAGAAGGGAAAACACAGTACCTATCAATAAAAAGAGGAACAAAGGGAACCCAGAGAATTATAGACCAGTGAGCTGAACTTTTGATACCTGGAAAAATACTGGAACAAATTATTAAACAATCAATTCATAAGAACCCAAAGGAAAATAGGGTGATAAGTAACAGCCAACATGGATTTGTCATGCCAAACCAGCCTAATTTTCTTTTTTGATAGTTATTGGCCTACTGGATGGGGGAAGCTATAGCGGTTATATATCTTGATTTTAGTAAGGATTTTGACATAGTTCCACATAACATTCTTATAAGCAAACTAGGGAAACATGGTTTAGACAAAATTACTATAAGGTAGGTGCATAACTGGTTTAAAGATCATACTCCAAGAATGATTATCAATGGTTTACTGTCAAAGTGGGGGGACGTATCTAGTGGGATCCTGCAGGAGTCTGTCTTGGATCCGCTACTATTCGGCCTTCTCATTAATGACGTGGATACTGGAGTGGAGAGTATGTTTATAAAATTTGCCGGATACACCAAACTGGGAGGAGTTGCAAGCACTTTCCAAGACAAGATTAGAATTCAAAATGACCTTGACAAATTGGAGAATTGGTCTGAAATCAACAAGATGAAATTCAATAAAAATGAATTCAAAGTACTACACTTAAGAAGAAAAAATCAAATGTGCATCTACAAAATGGGGAATAATTGGCTAGGCAGTAATACTGCTGAAAAGGATCTTGGAGTTCTAGTAGAGCACAAATTAAATATGAGCCAACAATGTGATGCAGTTGCAAAAAATACTAATGTTCTGGGGGGGTATTAACGGGAGTGTTGTATGTAAGAGACAGGAGATGATTGTCCCACTCTACTCGGCACTGGTGAGGCCTTAGCTGGAGTATTGTGTCCAGGTCTATGTGCCACACTTTAGGAAAGATGTGCACAAATCGGAGAGAGTCCAGAGGAGAGCAACAAAAATGATAAAATATGAGGAAAGGTTAAAAAAAACTGGGCATGTTTAGTCTGAACATTCAAAATCCACTACGTTAAAAGATCGTTAAGATTGCAAGGTCAAACACACAAGTGTTAGGAAATGCCAGAATGTATGGTGCCCATGCAACCTTAATTCAACTGTCTCCTGCATATGGATGATTATACAGCCTTACCTACATGATCACAAACATTTTTCCCCACAGGACTCCTGCCTCATTCAGTGCATAGGATCGTTGGTGCTCTGGGATTGAATCAGGGTTGTGTAGTGAATGAGGCTGGTGTCTGTGGATCCCTGCCTCAGTAGTTGCAAAAGTTGGAAAGTATGTAGTGAGTGAGGGAGAGGATTGAAGGAAGAGAAAGGATCGTCTTGTGATTAAAGCTGTTAAGAGCGAGAAAAGTGTTTTATAATTTTGGTTGGTCCAGTGTGTCATCTTTGTTTAGAGTTCTATAATTCAGAACACAAACTACAGAAATATTCTGTATCTCGAGGATGAGAAATAGAGGTGGATTACTGAACAGTAAATTGAGATGTTCTGATATAAACCTCTAGAGTGTAGAAAGGCTGAAGTACTTGTGGTAGCACGAGTACCTGAGGATGGATTTGTACATAAGTAATGAATTTGCCGTTTTGTCCAATTAGTGGGAAAGATTTTAGTTAATGCAAAGAAGACCCCGTTCTTTGTATAGTGTAACTATAGGCTGTTTGGATTAGAAGTGCAAGTGACACTGGTATAATAGGATAAATGTTGGCACAGCTTCTGGCATGGTGGCAGCAGTAAATACAGCTTCTCTCTAGCTTTAAAAAAAGAATATTTGTAGGCATAGCGGCCTATGCCTGATCAGTGTTAAATAGGGCCAGCCGTGGGATGTTAGACATTACAGCTCCCTGCCAAATTTTAGGATTCAAAATTGTGATTTCAAGCAGTAATTTCTGAATTGTTAGTGGCCAACCCATATCCTTTGCAAGTGGCAACCCATATCCAGATTTGAGTAATTTCCTGGGATGTATGTGGAATGTACCAATAGTGCTCCTTAAGCAATTTGTCAGGTATTCAATGTCCACCATGCGAAGCATGTGATTCCATTTCATGTCATCCTTTGACCTTCCCATCAGCATGATTAACTAATCAGGAAATGGAAAGCCACTTGCAGCTTCCTGGCACATCAATAGTTATAGTTCTTAAGAGTGGGAAAACAGTAAACTGGTCAGTATAGAGCACTGTGATAAAACAGGTACAACACTTATAAGCGTTACTAGGTCAGCTGGAACCAGCGTTAATCCACCATAAAAAGGCTTACAGGATTTGCCATTCATTTTTATGTTGTATAGACAGTAAGGTAATTATGCTGCTGTGTGCATTTAGTGTTTCTTATATCTGATAAGTGGTAATGGTCCCATCAGGAAGGAACAACTTGTATGAGCAATTCCCACAAAGCAGTGATTTTAAACCAGCCTCCTCGATATGCCCATAACAAACCTGACATTTTATAATCCAGATAAGTAATCTAACCTGATACAAGGCTGACTGTTCATTTTCCCCTCAAGTGGGGAAAAAAATGATTTTGTCCTGAAATTTTCCCTGAAGTTCAAAATAAATGGATATGCTCTTAGTTGCATTGATAGTAAAAATGAAAACCAGTTACTCAGGGTTAGTGGACTGTGATCTGAGAATTTTCACACATGCAGGGATACAGAACAAGAATGAATCTTGTTTAAGACACTTTGGATTTTAACTGCAGAATGTCTAATCTTGTTCAGTAAAGGGGTTTACTTTTGTTGGGTCTCTGTAATGTCACATTCCATTTAAAACTGTAACAATTGCTATAACTTGTTTCTGTCCTCCTCCCCGCTTTCTCCTCTGCCCCTTCCCCTCCAAAAAAAAAAAGGCAAAGAAGAATTTCTCGCTAAGTCTTTGATAACTGTTCTTTCTTTTCATTCCAGGTAACTTCAAACAAGAAGCACTCTGAGAGCCTGAAGAATGATGGTGACAGTCTTATCCACATTCTAGAGAGACTGGCCCAAACTGCCAGGTGAGTTCCCTCAGGCTTTCAGGAATTTCCAGGGCTGAGAGCACTCCCCTCCCCTTTTGTCTGAGATGGTCTTCTCTTGTAATCGCCTCAAGTGCACTACAAGCTTCTCCTGTTACCAGCCCTCCCCTCCTGTACACTCCTGTCCTCAAAACTCCCTTTATTCAAAGCTTTCTTGCTTTTTTTTGTTGCTGTTGTTGCGGTGTACTTTGATCCCAGATGTGGCTAGGCCATTGCTCTGTCACACAATCTTTTTTTCTGTTTGTTAACAGCTCACCTCTTCATAACCAGATACTGGTTTATTGTTCCCCCGTACAGTGTACTGGCAGCACAACATGGCTTTGTGCCCTTTCTCAAAGTAATGGTGGTGGTAAAAGTAAAATCCTTTCAAATGCACAGCTGAGGAGGACAAGAAATATTCTTCTAAGAATGCCGGCTGTCTTTCAACTAAGGCTTAAAACTGAGGTCCTAACTGCTTCTGAAAAGTACCTTGGCATTCTTTGTAATGATAGAGGTGTTAATCCAAGTAGCCTGGTCAAATCAGAACACTCTACCTACCTAATTCCCCTTGCACTCTCAAATGGACACGTTTTTGTTCCCTTCTCCTTAAAATGTTGTTCACTGCTGCTGTGAACTGCTAGGCTGCATTTCACTGCTGGGTGAAATGGTTCCCATGTAAAGTTTATAGATGATTTTTTTCAATGCTTTGGGAATCTTCCTGGTGTCCTTTGTGCACATAAATGCAAGCTTTGTATAAGTCAATGTTGTAGGCTCTGTTCAGGCGTGGAGTTTTGAAAATTGGCCTCTCAACTCTATTGTAGAGTAAGTTGTATTATTTTTGGAACGGGGGGAGATGTTTGGGGAAATGTAACAATCACTGGTACCGTGATGGAGGGGTTTGTGAAGTTGTGGGATAGAAGTGGTGTGGAGAAGGAGACAGAACTTACCATAAATCAAGTTTTCAGAAATCATCTGCCCCTCTTATGTATTCAAGTGCTGAGTTGCATTTCCTATTATCAACTACATTACCAGAGTGAAATAAAATGGCAACTCCCCCTAGCGCCATCAGCTAAAGAGACAGTGACAAGTTCTTAAAATTCCTTTTCAGTCTTTGCTGTAGCATTATTATTTAGTTAGTTAACTACGGAATTATAATTCACTCCTGAAGTTTTCCTTTAACCCTTTCTAATCTTTGTCTCAGCTTCCTCTAATTGTTTTAAACTTTCTTTACACAAGAAACCAGACACAACTGTTTATTAAGGCCCTCAGTGCTCCAGCAAAAATGCCCACTGGGTTAAATCCTAAGGAGTATAGAAGCTCCTACCCAGCCTCACCAATCCCAAGGATGGTCAAACTGGCACAGTAGTTGTGGAGCAACTCGTCAGCTGCCCCGTGGTCCAGCACGGCAGCAGCCACAACAGGTCAACGGGAGCTCATAGAAATGAAGTCCTCTCCCTGTTCACCCATCCTCTATGGAATTTGCTTCTCCGGGACCCTGGACACTAATGCTGTCTTGTATAGACTCTAAGTTGCTACAACCGAGGTGGAGCAACAGGAAGGGCCTGAGAATTTGTGGGCTCTGACCCCCTTCAAAGATGTTTTTTTGAGCCTAGGGGGTTCTGCAATCTCTTCTGTATAGGTTCCCTCTTTCCCAAAATGTTTGCCAGTGCCTAATAAACTTGGCACCAGTTTCTCAACCATGCATTGAAACCTCCAAGCTCCTACTGCCCAGCTGGGCTGTGCATCAAACTGGAAGCATTTCAGAGAAAGCTACCACTAATGGACCTATGCCTTTTTTCTAATAGTCTAAATTTAGCTGCCAGACCTTTCCTATATTTATGCACACGATTTAGCTGATATAAGAATTTCATAAAGACAGGTTGTAGTCCTTTACAAAATCTCCTATGACAGTGGAGGGAATGAGAAAGGCCCTAATAGAATAACATGTTTGTCATGTTTAAATAGAGAACTAACTGTGCTTAGGTACTCTGTCTGCTGCCTCATAGAAACCTCATAAAGCAGTTTTGCCAATCCCTTTTGCTGCTACCTCCTTAACCAGTAAGACACAGGGAGATCGGCCAGCTAGAACCACATAGAATTCATTTCATCTGTTCATTTTGCACTTCAAGATTTGTGCTCTTTTGCTATTCACTTTTTCAATACAGAGGGTGAATTAATTTAAAGAAAGATGTTCAACTGATAAGGTTCCTGGTTTATACTGCTGCTCAGTAACAAACTCCTTCTAAAAAGAAGGTACAGATCAACAACTCAACCAGTGTGGTCAAATACATGTTCTTAGTCATTCAGTTGATGCATGTCACAAGTTGAAGCCAAGGAACCAATGAATCCGTATTGACACACTTTTACAGGGCAGGAAAAACTAAAGGTCAAATGCAAAACTAAGGTTGAAACTATAGTAAAGAACAAAATTGTCAGACACATAGATTAACATAATTTGTTGGGGAAGAGTCAACATGGGGCTTGTAAAGGGAAATCATGCCTCACCAATCTACTAGAACTCTTTGAGGGGTCAACAAGCATGTGGACCAGAGTGATCCAGTGGATATAGTGTACTTAGATTTTCAGAAAGCCTTTGACAAGGTCCCTCATCAAAGGCTCTTAAACAAAGTAAGCTGTTATGGGATAAGAGGGAAGGTCCTCTCATCGATCGGTAACTGATTAAAAGATAGGAAACAAAGGGTAGGAATAAATGGTCAGTTTTCAGAATGGAAAGAGGTAAATAGTGGTGTCCCCTAGGGGTCTGCACTAGGCCCAGTCCTATTCAATATATTCATAAATGATCTGGAAAAGGAGTAAACAGTGAGGTGGCAAAAGTTGCAGATAATACAAAATTGCTCAAGATAGCTAAGTCCCAGGCAGACTGCAAAGAGTTACAAAAGGATCTCTCAAAACTGGGTGACTGGGCAACATGGCAGATGAAATTCAGTGTTGATAAATGCAAAGTAATGCACATTGGAAAACATAATCTCAACTATACGTATAAAATGATGGGGTCTAAATTAGCTGTTACCACTCAAGAAAGAGATCTTGGAGTCACTGTGGATGGTTCTCTGAAAACATCCACTCAATGTGCAGCAGCAGTCAAAAAAGCTAACAATGTTGGGATCATTAAGAAAGGGATAGATAATAAGACAGAAAATATCATATTGCCTCTATATAAATCCATGGTCCACCCATATCTTGAATACTGCGTGCAGATGTGGTCGCCCCATCTCAAAAAAGATATATTGGAATTGGAAAATGTTCAGAAAAGGGCAACAAAAATGATTAGGGGTATGGAATGGCTGCCATATGAGGAGAGATTAATAAGACTGGGACTTTTCAGCTTGGAAAAGAGACAACTAAGAGGGGATGTGATAGAGGTCTATAAAATCGTGACTGATGTGGAGAAAGTAAATAAGGAAGTGTTATTTACTCCTCATAACACAAGAACTAGGAGTCACCAAGTGAAATTAATAGGCAGCAGGTTTAAAACAAACAAAAGGAAGTATTTTTTCACACAACGCAGTGAACTTGTGGAACTCTTTGCCAGAGGATGTTGTGAAGGCCAAGACTATAATAGGGTTCAAAAAAGAACTAGATAAATTCATGGAGGATAGGTCCATCAATGGCTATTACCCAGGATGGACAGGGATGGTGTCCCTAGCCTGTTTGCCAGAAACTGGGAATGGGCGACAGGATGGATCACTTAATGATTATCTCTTCTGTTCATTCCCTCTGAAGCACCTGGCATTGGCCACTGTCGGAAGATAGGATACTGGGCAAGATGGACCTTTGGTCTGACCTACTATGGCCATTCTTATGTTCTAAGGTCAAGGTAGCCCATAGTTGCAGTAACTGTTTCACTAGGCCAGCAGTGCTTTGTGTGGGGTGAACACCCAATCACAGGTTGGAAGACTATTAGCAGACAAGAGAGGTAGCAAACCACTGCACTCACTGATGGAGCCAGTGAACTGGGTCTGAAAAGTCAGCACTATGTACCTCAAGAACAATTCTGCCTTTCTGTAGCAGATTAAAAAAAAGATGCTTCAGCAGAGCTGCCTCCATGTGCTGACAGACAGACTCTACCCCCACAAGGAATGTGCATGTGAAAAGACTACAAAAATTTGAGGCATTTTCCACCAAACTATTGAAGAAAATGTAATAACTACATCTTCCCTTTTTCAGAGTGAGACTTAGCAGGGCACCAAGCAAGCAGTTCTGTCAACATGAACTCAAGGGATCACACTGATACGCATGACTTGCTACATGTTGAAATATCCATAGTATCCTAACAGAAAATTGGTTTACACAGGAGTTATCCAAAGTGGATTCCCTCATCAGGCACTTTCCAGCACAAGTGAAAGTCTCATGTGTAGGACAACTACAGAATTTAGATGAGGTGTTTTACCTTGAAGATTACTATCTTTGTTTTCTTCTTTCCCAGCTCCCATGCCGATATTGCTGTTGCTTCCTTGGCTTTTGAAATTCTTAGAACAGTTGGACGCTAAAAGATCAAGGCTACCAGATCAATCATCACTCCACAGTCCTGACTGAATGCACAAAACACTGGCATGGTGAATTCCTCAGTCTTGTTTTAGGATATTTATGAATGAGTGTTGTAGTACGAATTTGATAAGAAATCTGTGTGTGTATGTATTCACTTATCTGTATAAGAATAGGGGAAAAGTGGGGAAAACTTGCTTTTAAAAGAATGAGCATTTGTCCATTATCTTGCTTAAATTAGCACAACCTACAGTTTGAGGGGATTTTTTAAGTGTCCTACAGCCACGTACTGAAGAATATAAATTTGAAAAATTCCATTTCTTTCACAAATATGTTTAGGGGAGAAGTATTTTCATTCCACCTAAATTGTGGTATATTTTCCAAGTTTTTGATCAGAATTAGAATGCCTTAGCTGATCATCCTTATTTGAAACATCTACAGTTTGTTATAGGTGAATACTTTTGCACATGTAAAGATTTCTGAAGTGCTTTGCAAATGTTAATGACTCAATCTGAAAACACTGCAGGGAGTTGGTATCATCCCCATTTACAGATGGAAAATGAGCATAGGGAGTGACTGATTTCCAAATGTCCCACAGAAAGTCTGGGATGGAGCCAGGAACAGAACCCAAATCTTCTGGCACTGAGTCATGTAGTTTAAAGGCAATTTGCAAAACCAAATACATTACAGTGTTCTGGTTAAAAGCGTACAATAAATGACTTTGCACTTCTATATTGCAGTGATTTCTCGTTAATAATTGCTCTATACACAAGTCAACTTGTGGCACTTTTCTTAAACTATTTTGATATACTTCAGTATATCCCAGATTCTGTTTTGACTATAAAGAAAATATTAATTAAAAAATTTCAAACTGAGACAGACCAAGCTACCTGTAGTAGATTTGTTTGAATGTTCTCCCTCACTCTCCTACTTCATTCTTCCACAAAGTTGTGCTTGTTTTGACACATTTGCTGCAGTAGTGATTGTAACCAATTACAAATTTAGCATTAATTTCACAGGAGGGTTAAATGCCTACTCTGACATTTTCCTACTGCTTTACTTTTGCAGGCAAGCACTGAATTTCGATGAGACATTGAAGCTTGATAGTAATAATTTTTACTTTTCATTAGCAGTTCCCATATGATATTGTTGCTTGGGCTTTGAAATTCTCTAACGAGTTGGACATGGAAAGATCAGTGCTAACAGAACAAGTATCACACCATACACATTGAAATCACTTTTTTAATTAATAATATCTTGTTTACAATGGCAGGAACAATTAAGAATATTGCATGATAAGTTACTAATTTGTTTTTAGTCTAGTTCCTCTTTAAGTGACAAAGTCCTTCTTCAAAGGTACATGGTGACTATTGACAGAATAGCTAGCCATACTGCTTCATTGGTCTATATATTAAAGGACATTGCCATTCCCAATGCCTCCCTCAGTGACTTACAGGGGTATCCTTAAGCTAGTGGAAGTACATTTTAAGCCCAGTTTTGTGTTCTAAATGACAGGTATGCATGCCCTAGCATGATGTCATGACATGTATAGGTTGCATTAAATGCCTAGCATTTGAAAAATTGATTTGTTAGGTACTTATGTTTCAGTGGGCAGCTCCTGAATTTAATGCTGATTTCCCTAGTAAATCAGTTGCACTAGGGTTTTTTTAACCTATGCTATTTTAGATGGGTATTAAAAGATTCTATAGAACTTATACACTAATATGCACTGGGCTCAAGTTTGTGGTCTCTGCAGGCTCAAGTGCATTGTCAAGGTGGTGATTGCAAGCTAGGGCTCAAAGGAATGGCTTTTTACAACTCAGAATCAAACTGAGTTGTTTTACTGCTGAAGTCTGCACTAGATGCTCCCAACTGCAGGTAAGATTGAAACTGCTGTTAGGGTGTGTTATCTTAAATATGTTCTTCTGTTTTTTTAAAACAGTCTAATTGAGAGAAAGTGGCCTGTCTTGTTAAAAACAACCCAACAATAGTGACAGTTAAGGCTGCATCACTGCATACAGCCAAAACTGTAAAAGCTTGGACATAAGTTTCCACTTTGAAACTGCCTATAATTCTATGGATGTACCACACCCTCTTGAACATACACGTCATCAAGGTTTTTGCATTAAGCAGTAACCTCAGCAGGGTGAAGGCAGAATTAGTGTCAGTTCATGGGGGATGTTACAGTCCTGTGTGCTCATCTAGGGTTACCATATTTAAAAAAAAAAAAGGACACTCCAGAGGCCCTAGCCCTGCTCCTTTCCCACCCCTGGCCCTGCCCCAACTCTGCCCCTTCCCCAAAGTCCCTGCCCTAACTCCCCCTCCTCCCTCCCAGCCACACGAAAAGGGCTGCCCGAGCACTACCGGCTTTACAGTTTGCTGGGCAGCCTCCAGACCCTGCGCCCCTGGCTGGCGCTTCCCCAGCGCAGCTGGAGCCTGGGAGGGGAAGCGCCCAGCTGGGGGCGCAGGGTCTGGAGGCTGCCCAGCAAACTGTAAAGCCGGTAGTGCTCGGGCAGCCCTTTTCGTGTGGCTGGGGGGGAGGAGGGGGGGCTAGGGCCGGGGCTTTGGGGGGGGGGCAGAGGTGGGGCCCGGGCCGGGGGGGGGGAGGAGGGGGGGCTAGGGCCGGGGCTTTGGGGGGGGGGCAGAGGTGGGGCCCG